GGTTTTCATAAACGTATTAAGAAATGCTACTTATAGCAGTTTTTCTTCCATTTTTTTTTTTTTTTTTGCATTAGTTGTATCATTTATGACTAACACAAGTATCAAAACATGGTAATAGCCTCTTGCTAGTAGCGTGTTAGCTTGTTAGCCTGTTAATCACATCATTTATCCAGTTTCCAGTGTGATCTTCTCGTAAAACCAGAAAACTTACTACTTTATGACACATTTAAACTGATATTCTACTTATTTTGCAGTGATGTTAGCACTTTCTCATGGGACATTAGTCAACGAGACACAGAGAGAGGCAAAGTCTTTGTCCAAGCTAGGTTAATGGCTAGCCAAACGACTGACGGTTTGATGTTGTTTTTCAACATTAAATAAACAATCTTGCTCAAAATTGGTATGCCAGTGTGAAAGAATGCAACATTAGCTAATATTAGCATTAGTATTTTAGTTTGTTGTTGTTTTTTGACTGAAAGTTTGTGTTGCTAACAGGCGAACAGGCATTCCTTTAGCAAGCCGTTAGCCTAGCCTGATCAGAGGTCTCCACAACTAAATAGCCAACAAAGAGTCATTTTTTAATGTTTACTTTAACTATATGGTTTATTATTTCAAAATGTGATACTTTAATAATTTTCCCACAAATATAATAACTCTGAGCTCATAGTTTGTCACTTTTTTTAACATAAATGTTATTTTTTAATCCAAACGTAAAAAAATATTGACGTGTCAAATGTTATAGAGTTTGTTTTTTATGTCGTAAACAGTTTTACATTTTATTTATGAACATAGAGTATYTATAAAACACTCAATGAGTTGTGATATTTTTATTTCAAGCTTCTAACCCAGGGGTCACCACCTCCCGTGGCCATAAAAAAAACTTTACTGAGCAGAAAGTGGTCTGCTGGCCGCTAGTTTTGCAATTCTGTACAGTTTATTTAGCGTTGAAGGGTCAGAAATGGCTCGTTCGATTGATCACTGACCTCCACAGACTATGGCTCAGTCACATGACTTGGATATAGATTTGTTTACATTGAGCGCGGACCCGTATTTCAAGATTTTTCTCAGTATATCTGAAAACTACTGGATTAAACTTGTTCAAACTGCACCATTTGATACAGTTCACCTAATTGATTTCAAACTTTGCAATGAGTTCCTTTTAATTTCAGGGGTAGTGGGCGGGGCTTACTCCTTTAAATAAGTGTGTCTTCTGCCGTGGGCGCTGGCAGAGGGCGTTTTGTTGACGGAGGGAATACAAAGCTTTCGTTTGGCTAAAGAAACTGTGATCTCATTCCGTCGATTCAGGTACACAAACTGCGCGGACGGTTTCTGTTCTGGAGTCCGTGGATCATCGTTCATCTCTAGATAATGCATCAGTGTGCAGGGCATTATTTTGGAAAAGTGGAAAGTCTCTGTACATATTTGTATTCAGAAGAAACAGTGTTATTGTTGTTGTATTGAAGTTGAAAATGGTTTTAAAAAATGACAAAAGACTAAAAAAAATGATAGTTTGTGACAATGACGAAAACCCACAGCCAAGGGTTGTCCTGCTAGCACATTTTTACAGAGATGAGCTATTTTTACTGGTGATTTTCTAGGCACTGTTACTGAAATCCTTTTGAAAAGAAAAAAAAAAGTACTAAACTTCCAGAATTATACAAGCACTTCCATAACAATAGATTGTTTGGTAATTTTTGTTACTTTTGTAGACGTGGTCGTTCCTTTGCTATTGCTCCATTTTGTAAAGTGGGACAGGCCTTGGCTGTGTGTCCTTGGGGTCTCATGTTTTTGTTAAATCTTTTTTTGGGGGTTGGTGGGGGGAGTACAACGCTGTAGATGGGCTGAGTTTGTGACTGTGTGTTTGTGTACTTGTGTACATGTCCCCCTGTTCCTGTGTCAGTGTTATAAAGCAGAGAAGTGATGTCGGTTATCGTGGGCGTATGAACCATTTTAAATGTTCTCTATGAAAAATACAAATAAAGACTCATAGACAAGAAAAAAAACGCCTGTGTCTGGTTTTTAAACGTCTATTTATGAAAAAAATGCCAAAAAGAGTTCATATTAAGTTACAATAGTCCAAACGAGAATACATAAAAGCACGTTTGTTCATTAAAAAAAAGGAATCCTAAAGCAGAACCCTGAGGTACACCATGAGGCGATTATGAGGTACACCATGAGGCGACCTGAAAACAGCCCAGGTCTTTTTGTTTAAAAGGGTCGATAAGCAGGTAGAGAAGTCGGAACGAGAAAATATAAAAGCACGAAAGCTCGTCTTGTGTTTTAACAAGAAACATCTTAATGCCTCTCAGAGATGGAAGTCAATGTTTCCAGTCAGATAAGGCGTCCCAGAAATTAAAATGACACCAAAGGACCTAAACTGATTTTTAATGAAATTTTCACATCACGTTTTTAGTTTCACTTAAAAGTATTTATAATAAAAAAAAACAAATCAGTGGTTTAAAATTTTATAGAATAAGAGTTAAAGAGATTCCTAACATAAACAAAAGTATTTTTGTGATAATGTGAAGCGAAGTTATTCATTGTGAAAAAAAAAAACATAAATGTGTCAGTTTTGTGTTGATTTTTTAGATGAGGTGAATTTTAAAYGTTGAGCAACACTGACATCTGGTGGACCTGAACTCTAAAACAACATGACAACAATTTTCAGCTCTGAACCACTTTTATTTGTTTACTAGTAGTTTAAAAAATTAAAAGGTGTATTTTTCCCCTGACACAACCAAATCATTTATGATTATGTCATTTTTATTATTTTGATTCTTAGTGAAGCTTTTAGACAAATATAAACAGCAACTAAAATACTCTAAAGCTCTAAAATGTAGTTTAAAAACTATACAAATATGTCGCTAAAAAGTTAAATGAGCTAAACTATGGCTATAAACTAATGAGTACAAGTATTATATACTATTACTATGCTACTAGCTAAATTAAGCACAATCATACTTAAAAACTAAAAATAACCAAACTATTGTTAAATGAAAGATAAAATAAATAAAATTGTTGCAAAAAATTTGTCAGCAAAACCTTAAAACTAAAATTAGACTAGCAGCTGTCTTGCTAATAAGATTTACTGAATAGATCTGAGAACAAAAACAAAACAAGTCTGATGAGGTTCCAAAGAAAACAAAGTTTTAGCAGAAACTAAATTTATTGAATTCTTTCAAAAATATTGTTCTCAAAGTTTTTTTAAAGTATATAATAGCAAAAGTGAAATCACACTTATATAAAAAATATTATTTATAAGGATGAAAATAAAACATTTTATTTTGGTTATTTTCATTGTAATTCAGGGTTTCAGTAGGTTTTGTGAACCGAGCTGTTCCGGGGTCCGGCGGACCCTGCGTGCCGTGCGTCTGACGTCATGACGTCAGATGGCCGAATGTTTACATCCAGCAGCGGTGTGCTGGCTGGATCCCCCACCGAAAACAGCAGCAACTGTGCGGGTGTGACGGGCCGGAGCCGCGCTCACACCGACGGTTTCGGTCGGACCTCTCCTTCAGGTACATCTCTGACCCGTTCGGCCCGAAGCCCGGAGTCTGGCGGCAGGTTTTATTTTAACACCAACAGCTGCCAGCTTTTGTTTTCGTCTCGGCTCCATTACCCCCCCTCCCCCCCGTATTTGTCAGAGAGCGGGGTGGGGGCGGAGTGGGTATGGTGGTTTTTAATAGAGACGTGACACGTTGTTTTGTTTTGTTTTGTTTTGTTTGCGTTGAGGTGATCGTAAACAAACAAACAGTCTGACGGTGGACTGAGGCTCAGACGGTTCTGTTTTGTCTCTAAACGTGGCGCTGATGAAACAACCTGCAGCGCCCCCTCTGGTCAGTGACGTCATTACGTCATCAGGACTCCACCGTTTGGTGCAAGGACCTGACAGGACCTCACAGGACCTTTTAACTCCTTGTTTTACAGCTTCCTGATGGGGGTCTGAGCTCAGGACGTGGTCTGGTCTCTGCAGATCTGTCAAAAGCTCCAATTTAGATCATTTTAATGTTCTTTAAACCAGAAATTACAGTTTAAAACAAGGTTTGGTTAGTTTATGCATTTGCAGGGGTGTCAAACTCCAGTCCTCGAGGGCCGCTATCCTGCATGTTTTAGAGGTTTTCCAGCTCCAACACACC